CATGCATTTTTACGTGCTTTCGAACTGCTAAGTTGGCAGAAGCTGGGACATGTAACGGGAGCTCACTCCATTATGTGGAACTAGGGATTCAAACCACCAAACTGCCAATCTTTCTGATCGACAAGCTCAGTGTCTTAGCCACTGAGCCACCATGTCCCTATACACAAGTATATGCATGCATAATTTCCTATTTTTAAAAAAGCAGAATGGGAGGAATGAGGCTTTTCTTAGCAATGGGGAATGATGGTCCTACGGTGGACTAAGCCATCCTTCTGTCGCAATCTCAAAGTACTGTGTGGTGAAATGACCCCTCTGAGATATCTTCTATATCAGGAGGATTAACATTAGATATCCCAGGGCTGTTAGGAGATGGAGAGATAAACACTCATTTATCAAGCTGAAGGAAAATCTGCACTGGGGCCATTCACGGCAGTAAGAAATGAGATATATTTACATTATCTTTCCGCCCTTCCCTCCCAGAAAAAAAAATATTCCAACTACTTTATCTAGATCAAACTTTCCTCAACTGCTGAATTCCAGGTTGTTTGAACGATAATTCCCTTCAACCACATTAATGGGCATTTCTGGCATAATTTGGTTGGAGTAGAGAAGATGGTTTTGCTTTTCACCCAGGTTTACAATCAGGTTATAGCTTGGCCAGAACTGATGATTTTTGTTTTACAGATACAGAATTTGCAACTTGGAGGCTCAGAGTGTCTACAGATATTCACCAGGCTAGGAACTGGGACACCGGAAGTTCTAGATCTACCTTAGGCCCAAAGCCAATTGGGTGACCTTGGGCCATTCCCTCTCTCTTAGCCCTAGGGAAAACTAATGTTGAAATTTTGCCAAGAAAATTGCAGGGATTTTTCAAGAGAGTAGTGAAAAGTGAAAAAAACTTGCATGTGGAGTGCATGTGGAGAGGGAGGGAGGGAGGCAGAGGTGGTATTCAGCCGGTTCAGACCAGTTCGCCCGAACCAGTAGTAGAGGCTCTATGCCGTCCTATTTAGGCATGTTTCCAAGTCATGCGCATGCATTCAAGCCGTGGGCACGATCAAAGCGCAGGCATGAAAGGCTGAGTGCGCATGTGCTCCCATTCATGAACCGGTAAGGAAGGTAAGTGAATACCACCCTGGGAGGGAAAGAGAGAAAGAGAGGAAGGAAGGAAGGAAGGAAGGAAGGAAGGAAGGAAGGAAGGAAGGAAGGAAGGAAGGAAG